AGCTCCACTTGAATTCCAAATAAGCATTTCAAACCACCCCACCCCACATGTTGGCATCTTTCTTCCCCAGTGTTCTTCCATCCAGTAAAGGGCACCTCCATTCACAGAGTTGTTCCAATCATAAATCTTGAAATTACTCACCTTCCACATCCATCCCCTAAAAATCCCCTAATTCTACCTTTTCAGTCCAGCCACATCTTACCCTAACCATGCTAGGCCAAGCAGAATTACGATATCTCCTCAGGACCATTGCAAGTGTCTCACAACTGGTCTTCCGGCTTCCATCTTGTCTTCTTGCTATGTCTTCCAAAGGCTGCTAGAGTGGTCCTTTCTAAATAAAGTCAGATTCTCACTTCACTGTTCAAAACCATTACCCTTAGGATAAATTCCAAAGCCCTACAAGGCCTTGAATGATGCTGCCCTTGGCATCTGTGCCCTTCCTCTCCATCATTCTGCAGACACTGTCCTCCTGATGTGTCTTACATACACTAACCTTGCTCTCTTGTTGGGGCTTTGGCTTTTGGTTTTACCACCACCCACAATTCTCTTCTCCAGTGTAGCTCACACTCACTTCTTTCTCTGCTCAAATGCTACCTGTTAGAGAAGACCTCCTCATCACCTTCTAAGGCTGAATCTGCTACTGTTTTCCTTGGTAGCCTTCTACCCATCCAAATCTTAGTATATATCTCTATATTTTATGTCTCTGCCTACAACACCTTAAATCTTTAAAGGGAAAGACATTGTCCTTTCTCACTGCTATACCACCAAAATCAAGGACTATCGTTCATAGTAGTAACACAATAGATATTTGTTGAATGAATTATTTAATGAATGAATTATTTAATGAATGAATGAGGCTAAGGAGTATAAGGAATAGTTTCCAGCACATGGTGAGGTACTCAAGAATATCTGCTAATTTTACTGTGATTATTATAAATCAAGTGGAAATGGACTGGTGACACTGGTGCATGGAAGCTAGTTATTTGTGACACTTGCAATTTTCAGAGTTTGCTTCAATTTATGGATTTTTATACGTTCCTATTGCCTCTGCTTTTTTAGGGATAATTAGGCAAAAGTGTGTTGCTTTGAGCTCACGCGTGAGACTTTGTTTATTTGGTTTTTAAGCTGTCCATTTGAATGAGAAATGTTACATTTGCTTCCAAGGAAATTCTCAGGCTGTAGAGGCAGGCAGGCTTCAACAGCATGACACAATTTCAGGCCCCATACCATAAGTCAAGGAAAAGATTGCAGGTTTCCCAGGATCACACTTAAATATCAGACATGAACTTCCAGGCCACGCAGACACCAGAAAGTAGATTTTTCTTTCCCACTCCACATCCCTCCTCCCCATCACTGACCAACATTAGTCCTCTCCCCAGGAGTGGGGAGTGCCTCTCTTTTATCCCCCGATCCGTCCCCAGAGGACTCACAGGCAGTGGAGGGCCCATCGGGGCCAGAGGAAGACAATTTAACATTGAACCTGGTCTTGATTCACATGAGCTAGGTGACCTTAACCAAGCTACTTAAACTCTGTCAGCCTCCATTTCTCCAAGGATGAAACAACATCTCCCTTGAAGGGTAGGGAGGGTTGGAATGGATCACCTTGTGAAGTATTTGGCCCAGCTCCACAGCCTCAGATCTGGCTCCCCTGTTCTGCCTGCCATTTATATTCATTCTCAGAGAGCTCTCCCGTGCATTATCCTCTATGACTCTCACCACTCCGTCCTGGTATAATCAGGGCACGGGTTATTATTCTATTTTGAGACATGGGTAGCCAATTTGTTGAACTATTTGAACATAGTGGGAAGCAAACAGAAAATGATTTTAGCTTTTCTCTGTGATGGTATTTGCTTTGATAAGCCTCCCTCTCCCTGAGTTGCACATCCTTGACAAAAATCTTAGCAGAATCCTGAACTTCTTGGTTACTCTAATGTATTAAAAGTCTAAAATGAGACTATAGTGTCTCCTCCTATTTAATTCATCCTTTCTCCAGTACCAGTCCAGATTACAGCCTGAAGGACTTGAAGTAAAGAAGGTCTATTTTGCTTCTTTGCTGCTTCCAGGTCTTCACCTTGGTTTGGCTTGATCTCAGTGAATGATTGCTTCATAATTTTCTCTCACTTGGCTCTTTCAGAGATGAAAGGCCCTCTTCAAAATAAATGCAATGCTCTCAAGGACTCATGACCTCACTCCCCCATATCAGGATATGCCAGGTTATGCTACAGAAACAAACAACTCCACAATAACTAAGGGCCCCTCGGCTTCTGTCTTTGGCAAGTCTAGTTTCTCTGGTAGGTTTGAGCTGTAGGGCAGAGAAAAAGAGACAAGAGTATCGGGTGAGCCACTGTTTTCGACCTCTCTGTGTAGGTAGTTGAAGCTTCTCTGTTTGGTCCTTTCTGGCTGATGAGGCCTCATTGCTGACACTGGTGGGACTTTTCTAGAAGGCTTTACAGAGTCTTCCCACTCAGTGGCTCCATGAAGTGGAGAGCTGGTTTCACACAAGCATAACCAACTTCAGGTGGGCAAAGAAGTACCATCCCTTCACAAGCTCAGAGGGTGGGGAGAACAGCATTGTGTCCATTATCTATTACTGTACACAAAGTAGACCTACAGCCTAAGAATGGCCTAAAACACCAATCAATGCTTCAATCAATGAGTGTGTGGGTTCACAATTTGAGTGAGACTTAGCTGGATAGTTGTGGTCCCAGCTGGACATTCTTATGCCTGCAGGGCAGCAGGGTGGTTCTGTGTCTGGATTCTTCCTGGAGTGATGGGGGCTGGACTAGACCATATGTCTCTCATAATCTTTAAGGCTACTGGAGGTTTGTTTAAATGGCAGTCTGGCAGGTTTCCAAAGGGAGGCCCTAAGCAGGCACAGCATCCTGAGGCTTCAAATTGCTTCTGTCACCTTCTCTTGGTCAAATTCCCCAAACCATCAAGATTAAAGAAGTGGAAAAAGGTCTTCACTTTTATGGGGGGATAGGGAACATACCAGGGATGGAACCCAGGGGCTCTCAACCGCTGAGCCACATCCCCAGCCCTATTTTGTATTTTATTTAGAGACAGGGTCTCACTGAGTTGCTTAGTGCCTTACTTTTGCTGAGGACAGGTTTGAACTCATGATCCTCCTGCCTTAGCCTCCCAAGCAGCTGGGATTACAGGTGTGCACCAAGGTACCTGGCGAGTCTTCACTTTTAAGGGAGTAGCTGCAAAGCCACATTGCAAGGTAGGGTGGATAGGAGGATGAAGGGAAGGGAATTGTGGCTTTTTTTTTTTTTTTTAGGTTTACTCCAAGCCCTATTGTCCGCCACACCTCCCAGGTCTTCTGAGGTAGATGTTGGGGAGGTGGAGGTGGAGGTGGCTGGATTTGGCAATGCCACATCAGATCGTCTTATATATCATGTAGGGGAGCCTGACCACATTTGGTGGAGACCCTTATCAGAATGGAGCCCCATGTTGTCTGCAGCTCTGAGCTATGGATGTTAATTCCAGGCAACAGAACAACCGCCATAGACATACAGTTATGAAGGAAGCTACCTTTGAGGTGAAGTGACCGGTTGGAATTCATGCAGCTAGTACTGGTTCGTTTCTTTTCCCTGAAGGGAAACGAGGCTGATGATGAAAAGCATAGTGAATATGAGAGACTTGGAAAAGGCCAGTGTCTGGGATGAACAGAGCAAAGCAGGTGCTGGGCTGCTGTTACCAGGTTCAGATCGACCAGTCCCTAGAGACCAAGGCCAGGAGATTTCCTTAAACCTAAGGAAAAGGAAATGTCTTGAAGGATTTTACACAGAGTCTCACACATTCACATCTGTGTTTCCAAAAGATCCCTCCAGCCTTGATGAGAAGACTGGATTAGAAGGCAGTAATGGGGGCTGGGTTAGAACTGCAGCCTCCACTCAAACCCAGAAAGACAGGCAGAAGCTACTACTTTTCTAAATCCATGTTGGTGCCTCTTCATAAATCCCAAAGGCAAAGGGGAAATGGTCTAGTTTGTCATGGACAAAACATGGGACAAGGCCAGGTACTGTGGCGCACACTTGGAATCCCAGCAGCTCGGGAGGCTGAGGCAGGAGGATTGTGAGTTCAAAGCCAGCCTCAGCAAAAGTGAGGTGCTAAGCAACTCAGGGAGACCCTGTCTCTAAATAAAATATAAAATAAGGCTGGGGGATGTGACTCAGTGGCTAAGTGCCCCTGAGTTCAATCCCCAGTACCCACCTACCCCCCCCAAAAAAAAATACAAGGGACAGTGCCATAGGAAGGACAAAGAAAACCAAATGTGTAATTGAAACACTATGTCAAATATGTGCACACACACACACACACACAGAGGCATACACACAGAGGCTACTTATCCACATGCTCCAGATCCAAGTGAACTTGAGAGTTTCTGGTTTGTGTTCTGTGGATAATTTAGCCAGATTGATGTCGAGTCAGAGAGTGGCCTCTCCTGCTTGGCAGTGTGGGAAGACAAGCAGCTGCTAAGTGATCCTAAGAAAGAAAAGCCAGCATTGCGCACAGCCTTGGAGCCCTTGAATTCATACATCATTTCCAGTTTATTCAAGTTCAAAAGCAAATGGTATTGCCGGTAGGGACATAGCTTAGTGGTAGAGCCCCTGCCCTGCCATTGTAAGGCCCTGGGTTCAATCTCTAACTCTGAAAGAATAAAAAAGAGCAAATGATGACAAAAGCCCAGTTTGGCAGGGCCCTTGTGACTGCAGGTTGGTGGAAATTTAAGGAAGCAGGGAAGGAAAGGCAGAGAGGCTCAACAGTGCCTTTTCCTGCTGTGTTGGCTTGGGGACAAGGGAAGGGGACGTTGCTGAATTCCATCCTCACTGGGCACTGACATCATCCTCACCCACACAAGGACACATAGGCGCCTCCCCGGGGGACTGTGGGTGTCAGCGGGAACCGTTCCATGCATGGAGCTGACCTCCGCACCCCCAGCATGAGTCTGCATGATAGATCGTAAGAGAGACTGTTCTGTCATTGCATTGCAGCTCCAGAAACTAAAACGATCACTTTCTTTCAAGACCAAGAGTTTACGGAGCAAAAGTGCTGACAACTTCTTCCAGCGGACCAACAGCGACGCGAAGCTGCAAGCGGACATGCAGGCCGAGGTCAGCCCCAGCTCCAGCCCCCTGCCTGCTCCAGGAAGCCTGGCGTCCACGCCCACCAGGGCTGGCCTGCACCCAGGCAGCGGCAAGGCTCATGCCTTTCAGGAACACATTTTCAAGAAGCCCACTTTCTGCGACGTCTGCAACCACATGATAGTGGGTAAGGCTTTCCCCTGCCCCTTCCTCTGGATCCAGCACCCCCTGGAAAGCTGAGAGAAAGTGGGCTACCACGGGTCCAGGTACCCAGAGATGGACTCTGAGCCTCAGAAATATGCAGACAGGATTGTTGAGGCGTGCTTTGGAGAAGAGTATTTGTGGAGAGGTAAGGGAAGCAGGGCTGGGCAGGGGGAGAAGTTGGGTTGTGCTACAGTTTTAGACCAACTTCAGTTGGTCCTCCAGGGGGCCCTAAAGCCCTTTAGGGTTATCCCCCAGTGAGTTCTTTGTTCATCTATATCATCCCAACATTGCATATGGCCAATAAGTGAGACTTGGAATGTGTGTTTCCCAAAGAGGTCAATGTCTGCCATCACTGAGACTGGACATATGGATGACTTCCGGTATGGCCAAGAACACAGAATTCTGCAGTTCCCTTCACCCTTTGCCAAGGAGTGGGATATTCCAATCGGGAGCTATTTTAGTTCCTATTAGAATCAAACACATCAGGCCAGTCCTGATTTTTAGGAAAGTATTATCTACCCACACTTTTACTTTCTAGTAGCAGTACTCATGTTCTTCCTTCAAACAAGCCATGTTTAGAAGTAGTGCTTATATCAGTCAAGGATTCCCACCATGGTGTTGCTTAATAACTACCCTTAAACTTCAGTACTTAAAACAGAGGCAGCATTTACTCTCACTTGGGCATCTTCAGAACAGCTAGAGATTGGCTGATCTAGACTCCACTCATTTATTGCATGTCCTTGAACCAATGGCCCAGCCTCGCCATGTTCTTCTGGCAAGAATGGGTGGAAGAACTCAAAGCTTCTTCAGGCCTTGGGCTTCTGCTGGCATTTCTTGTGTTCAGGGTTAGTTACAAGAGCAAGCCAGAGTCAAGGGATGGAGATGTCTACTCTCCCTCTAGTAGTGGGAACTGTAAGCCACCAGGAGAAGGGCATGGACACAGGGTCAGTTAATCTAAATGACCACTTAGGTGGTCTCTGGATTATAGATCCTTTATCATTTGGTAAATTCTGCCATGTCTCGGAGTTCCTGTGCTCCTGCTTCATGTCCCCATCTGGAAGTGGTGGCTGGAGTGTGACAGTCAGCATGGGGTCACCAGTGGTGGTCTCAGCATGCCCCATGCTCAGAATACTTAGGCAGTCCAGCCTCCAACCTTAATCTTTTTGTGAATGCCTGACTTCTAGTTCTGATGCGTCACTTTCAATTTCCACACGTATTTCCACCAAGCCTTTTCAAGGCAGTGCTATTCATAACCCTTAAATAAGTGATGATGAGCATCTATTTTAAATCTCATTGTGATGAGTGCGAAAAGACAAACGAACATGTGTTTTAAAAATGAGTAATGGGAATGAGTTCACCTCTGAGGAATGTCACAGTCATTACCCTACAGGGGACTGTAGGTGCACATCAAGTACAACAAAAATTTTGAAAGACTCTATTCTAAATATTAAAAAACAAAAGCCCTGTGCTAAAGAGAATGGCACTTTGTTTTTCTCTGATCATAATTAAACTTATATTGCAGCCGCCTTTTTATCTTGAAATGAAAGGAAAAAATAGTCAACAAGTCACAGTGCTCTTTTCAAAGATGAAATAAAGGAAACTAATAGTTGGCTTCTTCTAGGAATGAAGAAAGGAGTTTAGAAAGGTGATGTGAGGTAGCACAGAAAGGTGAAAAGAAAAAAGACACGAATGAGGTGAGAGGAGGGGAAATTGAGATGGGGCTGACCAATGTCCTAACTTCCTGAACAATGCGTGGTGTTTTTAATTCACTGATAACAGAGCACAAGTGATCTGCCCTCTTCCTCTTTCTTTACCCCTGAAATCTAGCCTCCCGTCTCCCCAGAGGAGGCCATCTTCATACTCTAGATGGTAGGGAAAGATGAGATGCTCTTAGTCCCTAAGTATGACATTTCAGAAAAGATATTAAAGCTATTTTCCCCCTTTAACTTAAATCTAAGGATTGTATAAGGATGCATAAGAAAAATCAAATCTGATTTATTCACTTTCCAGCTGATGGGTGCTTCCTTAGAAAATGAAACTGATATCCTCTCCATCTAGCATTTCTGAGATGGAGTGGACACTCACAGTTGGTTCTACGAGGCTCCCCATTTGTGCCTTGATGCTGATGCCTATGCCCTCAAACTGGAAAGGCCACACAATTACCACAGGACCATTGGTCAATAAAAAGAGAACAGGACCTCAGGCCCATTCATTGACCATCCGTTTCTAATTTCCTTAGCTCTCTACTGCTAACTTTGCCCTTGCCCTTCTACCTGAGAGCTAAAACTTCTCCTCACCTACTTACCTGGATCTGGGTTAGACCCTTTGGGTTAAGCAGATACTGGCTAATCTAATCTAGCCTCCAGGACCTTGCTAACCTTTATGATCAATTCCTTAGGCTACCCCTTTCTAGAAAAATTGGTGACCTATGCAAGACAAAGATAGCCAACCCAATCTTTCATGGAGACATAGAGAAATAGATAGGGATGCCTATCAGCCCCAGGGCTGAATGCCCCTGCCTTTGGAACCAGAAGTACATGACTGCTTTTGTCAGGGGGACTCAAGTCTTAGCCTGGGAGAATTTGGAGCTGACTCTTGTACTTGGCTAAATGAACATATTTCCTCCACCAAGAAGTTTACTCTTGTAATCTTGCAATCCTCTGGCCTTGAACGTGTAAGTGAGGGTGGGAGTCCTGTCTCTGGTGTGTATCACCTAAATGTATTCCATTATGGCATTTTATCTTTATATTGAGTTAACTGTCTGTGGTGGCTCATTTCAGGGGAGTATTGAATCTATGTGGTAATCTGCATCTCACTGAAATTTCAAAGACTTCAACAAATCAATCTGTGCTTTTAACATGACTATCTCCATGCATTGGTCTACTCCATCAATTAAGGAGATTTTTCCAAAAAATCCCATTCTTTTGTTTGTGGTCAGATACCTTGTTTCTAAAATTATTTTTAAATTAAATGTTTTTTTTTTTTTTTTAGTTGGAGCCTACTTAGAAGACACAATATATTAAAGGAACTCAGATTTTTTAAACAGATAATTATCAAAATGGTTGGATTTTATTGCTTAAATTTCAACTTCTCTTATACAGTTTCTGTTACAAAGTATCATTCACTTTCATAACTTTCCCATAACATGGAAAATTAATAATAGCATTGTCTTATGTAGGAATCCCAGAAGAAGGGCCTGATTCAGAGATTCCTATGAAAATGGTTTAAATGCACGGAACACCCTCAGGAGGAGGGTCAAAGAAGCAAGAGGGACAAGGGAAGGCTGTAGGCAAGGATAGGACCTCAGCTGAAGTCCACTTTAGACAATCCCACTCAGCGCACCCACTTTGAGACAAGAGGCCTGCCTTGTACATGACTGTCACCCAGTCACTGACCAAGGCTGCCACAGGAAGGAATAGGGATGTGGCATCACCCCAAAGAGGATCCCATTTGACTGAGGACAATTCTCTGGGGGGGAGGGGTGGGAATGACGTCTGTAAGTCATTAGCAGCCAAAGCTCAAGGCACAGCTTGGTAAATGAGATCTGAACAAGGCACCATCAGTACTCAGGACATCTATAAACATATTTTAATGCTTCAAGATGCAGTCAAAGGCATCCTTCACAAGAAGTGATTTTAAAATGCAGAGCAACCTTGGCACTGATGTGCCTATAACACTGCATTACCATAATAATGAGTCACATAGCATGAGAAGTACTATATTACACTGAGTCCTGGACCTTTCTGCTGTGCTCTTGTTTGACCATTAGTTTAATTGTTCCCAGACCTATTCTGACCACATCCCATTGCCGAAGCCACTAACCAAAACTTGAGTGGAACAAAATATTTATACACATGTATAAACATAAAGATACAAAACTTAAAAAAAAAAAAAAGCAGTGTTTGCTCACCAATGATGTTGTCTCTTGGTGAGAGAGGCCAGAGAACAAGGGTTTCTTTGAAAAGCAAATGTCAAATCTGTGTATTCTCAGAATGGAAATTAAACCTCTGAGTTCATTTAACTGGACAATTGTTTTAGGGGTGATATAGGTTATAAATAAAGCACAAGTGCTCTCTAAACCCTTTTTAAAAATATTTCAAACAGAAACTCTCCTTTGAGCTACAGTATGCCTCTATACTGAATTGAAGTGCTCAGAACCCATTGGTTTGTCCCCTGGGATTATTAATCTCTGCCTTCTATACTTTATGGCTGATTTTCTCCTTGAAGATAAAAACCCAATGCAGTACCCTATCCAGCAGGGGCAAATAGTCTCTTTCTGTTCTTTGCTCATTTGGGCCCCCTTTAAGAGAATATAACTAAAACAGTCTCAGAAAGGAGATGGTGACTCTTCCAGATAAGGAATGTTTGCAGGGGGTGGCAATGTTTAGTCTGGAAAAGTCTTGGGAGAGCATGATCATTGTCTTCAAACAGCTGAAGAGATCTTCTCTGGAAGAGAGTTTAAACTTATTTGGGGTCCCAGGTGCACAGTAACAGATGGTGCCGTGAGGCAGAGTTCAGAGCCTAAAGGTACAGCGGCTCAACGTAACGCTAGAAGTAGGCTTGTGGATTTAGGAAGAGAAAAAAATGCATGTTCAAAAACTTCTGTATACTGTACTCCCTTTGAGTGTTCATAGCACACACAAGCATTTTGAAGTCTTGCCATTCTGAAAGCAACCCACCTGTTATCAGTGGAGAAGAGAGGCAGTAATTTAATGGATTATAACTAAGGAATTCTCCCTCCTAACATCTACATTTCCCGCTATAGAACACTGTTTGCCACGTATCTCTTTCATGTACACAATTCCAAGGGATTTTTCTAAGGCTTGCAAAGGCAAATTCATTAGAGTTATTAAGGCTGCAACATCAGGTCCAAGGTTCTCATAGAGATTATCAAATATAAATGATTGTAGGACTTGTGCCCAGCACCTTTCAACTAAAAGAGCACCAAGTACTTTTAAAGCTGCATCTGCTATTATTTTTTTC